TTCCCTCTACAGAAACTCAGAGGTGAAGAAGGGAGAGACAGCTGAGTTTTTAGAGTACCATCAAACTACTAAATTCATATGTAGCCTGAATTTAAAAATGTGTAAAAATGACTGATGCATGTTATACAATAAATAAATATATGTTGAATATTTGTTGAAAGAACTGTGTCAAAAAGGTGAAATAAAAGATAAGGTCCTCTTCTGCATCTAAAACAGTAAACAAAGAAGTCCATTCAATAACTGTTTTTAATGAATAATACTGATAGTCTTTTTAAGTACTGCTAAACAAGATAATTACACTCTGTATACTTACATAATTACCAAACCAAATAGAAGGAAATATAAATACTTTACAATGTATTGTCATTCACCAATATTAAAAGAAATCTTTCAAAATAATTTGTGAAAATATACTGCAAACTATACAAAACATAAAACAAATGTATGTGTAACAGTATTCAAGAACAAATTTATATCATAAATAAAAAATGACAACTACACTTGGTTGGTCAATGACTAGAATGCCACTTCAAAAAAAAACCAATATTTAATCTGGAATTTTGTATTTTCCCCCACATGATAATCAATGAAGAAAGTTATGGGCCACTTCCTTAGAATTCTGGGACTGTTATGAATGAACCTGAGCACATTAGTTATGTGAGTACTGCAAATGGTTGTTTATAACATGAATATTTTATTTTGTTAAAACTTCTAACTTCAGAAGTGAAATATCCTGGATTCCAAATATCTTTCAAATTACGTTATTAGTTAAATTGGCTGTTTCCAACTTCAATATACTATTTTAAGGGCATTTTTTTTTCATAATTTAGATATAATTTATATTATCTCTTTGTAATCAAAGTAATGAACATTTTTGAGTCCACAACTTTCTAGGGAAAAAGAAAGAACAAAACTGTGAAAGAGTCCAAAATGCAAGAACCTTAATTGCAGAATACTTATGCTTATATTTTCTCTAAAAAAATTCACTAGCCACAAGAAATTTTATCTCATCTTCTGAAATACTTGAAAATATACCCATGTTGAAATGACATAAATGTTTAAGGTCTAAAGGTTAATAAAGATCCCATTGATAAGGGATAAAATGTAAAGAATGTTGCTAAAAAATAGTTTAATTACTTAATATATATTGAAGACATCCCATTTTATATAAGCAATAAAATATTACCTTCCTTTGGATGGCTTTTCTACTAATCTTTTTTACTGTGAAACAAATAATACTTGGATATAATTAAGACGATTAGATTTTTATCTACCACTTCAGTGGACACTTGCTTTGCTTCTCTGTTTCCTGAGAAACGGCTTTCTCAGGAAATCCAGCACTATTAAAAAAGGCAATCTAAGACCCAGCGTGTTATGTTTTGCCACCAGACTTCCAAGGTTATTGGAATACACGAACAATGAGCACCTTCCAATCAAGACATCCTTTCCACTTCTCCAGTCAAAATAAAGTATAAAAAATTTTCTAGTTCCCATACAGTGAGTAAATTACCAACATAATTAAATACAATGAAATCTGGTCTGTTTCTATCACCTGCGGTCAATGCTACTCTTCCTAACACCACAGGCAAATTTCGAAACTTCCCGTGTCTTGCCAAGAAAAACCATTTGCTAAATGATGTTCCTGCTGCCATCCCAGCTGGTTTTTTCATTTTTCCAAATAACTCTCGAGTTGTGGCCCTCCTCGCTTTATAAACATCACTAAAAATTGTACCCAAGCCTACCTCCCCAACCCTCAGTTCTTGAACTTGATCCACAGAGCCCCCTTCTGAAGCGCACTATGCAAATCATCATGCCAAATACTTCCCAAATCCTCTTCTCATTATCTCATTTCAGAAAAATCATAGCATTTATTCCCACTGGGAACGTGGGCTCGAGCCCCCTTTTGTACTTGAGGTGCCCAGAAAGAAAACACAGAGGGAGGGGGAGGGGGAGGGTCAGGAGAGAGGGAGAGGGAGACGTGCATACACACACACACACACCACATCCCTTCCTAATCTCCAACTCTGACAACAGCACTCAGATATCCAAAATCTCTAGTTCACTCCACCTTCCGCTGTACAAAAAACAGAGCAATCGTAGATGACAACTGGGAGAGGGAAAATCTGAGGTTTCTGAGGGTCCATGGAGACCTCTTTCCCACCAGTCGCTCTCTCACCCAAGCCCGCTGAAGAGCTCTGGTGACATAATCATCACTTCTCCGTTTGCCCCCTTCTGAAACCACCCCTAATTAGACGTTCCTGCGCTAGACCCGCACGGACAGGAAGTAATCCTGGTGGTGCGCGGCGATGCCATTTTGTCAACCTGCCCTCCAGAGAGACAACACTGAGACCCACATAAATTGACCCTCAGGAGTCCCGTGGAAGCGGAGGAGGAGGAAGACCTTTGCGCCCAGCCAGTGCTCCCGTCTTCTCCCTGTCCTCCGCTCTAGAAGTGAGACCAGAGCCTCCAGGGGCAGGGCGGGGAAGAAGGCAAGATCAATAAAGAGGGCTGCGTGGGAACTGCCTGCCCATGAGGGACAAGAAAGGAAATCGCAAAAAGAGAAAGCGTAAATCTTGTCTGCTGCGTGACGGAGGCGTGCAAGGAGAGCCCCTTGCGCTTATCAGTTAACTAGTTCCAGCCCGGGACACCCGCCTGTCCGGCTTACAGACAGATTTCATCCACCAAAGGTCGGCGAGGGGGCGGGGAGAACCAGGAAATGCGGAGACCACTAACTTACGGAAGAAGATGTACTCCGTGTAGCTGCTCCAGATCTTGTCGTCGCGGTACTGGTTGACGAAGGCAGCGGTGCCCGAGGAGTTACACGCCACCATGTGGAAGCCAGACTCCGACAGGCGATCGAACGCCTGCTCCAAGTAGGTGAACTTGAGGTAGAAACGGGACGTGTACTTCTCGGGTGGCCGATCCGGGTCGCGGCTCTCATTGAGCGTGTCACCAAAGACCTCCTTTGCTAGCGCGATGCGTCCGCACACCATGATGCGCGCCACACGCCGGAACTTGGCGTCCGCCTGGTTGTCGCGCACCGTGGTGTAGGAGCCGCGATAGCCGAGCGTGAGGAAGCCCGAGCTTTTGTCCCGTGCGCCGCCGCCGCCGTGCGCTCCGGGGCCCGAAGGCGCGGCGGCCGCTGCCCCACGCATCAAAAGCGCGTCGCTGCTTCCCTGAGAGACGTTGTCCTCCAGGTCGCTCTGGCAGCCCTCGTCGTTAAGCGAGTTCTGCTTGGTGACCTTGGGGGACAGCAGCTTGACCAGGTCAGTCAGCTGGAAGTATTCGGCCTCGCGCAGGAGCCTCTCCTTCTCGGGGAAGTGCTCTGGCAACGCGAGCTGCTTGTCCCGCAGATAATCCAGCACGTACCTGAATAGGAAGCCGTCCCGGTCGATAAAGAAGCGCGCTCGGCTGTCCCTAGGCAGCTCGCCCCGGCGTCGGGCGCCGCCCCGGGGGCTGGAGGGCGAGAACATATTGGCCAGAATACTGTCCGGGACGCTGAGCAACGTCGAGTGCTTGGTCACATAGACCTGGCCCCCCACGTTCAGCTCCACCACCTCAGGGAAGGGCGAGGGCGCGCAAGGCCCTGGGGCGGCTACAGACGCGCCGGGCGAACTGGACGAGGAGACCATCTCGCTAATGGGCAGGATGGTGCTGCCGACGCTGCTCGTGTCCTTCAAAGCCATGTTCCACCCCACTGCTGACCAAGTAACCCGGGAGAGCGGCACTTTCACGTTCCTTGCACCTTCCGCGGCCCCTAGCCTTGGCGTGCGCCTAGTGCGCCCTCGGGCCGGGAGGTACCTTTCTCCGGCCGGGTCGGCCCGGTTCAGTGCTCGGGGTAACAGCGGCTGCGGCGGCGCCCGGGCTCCATCGGAGAAGAGAAGCGCGGGAGAGGAGCTCAGCGGGAGCGGGAGCGGGAGCGGCAGCGGCGGAGGAGGTCCTAGGAGGAGCGGCTGCTCCTTTGGGGAGATGGCGGGGAAGTGTGAGAGAGACTTGCAAGAGGCTCTTAAGGCTGCCGCTCGGCACTCCGTGGAGAGGGCGGGAGGAGGGGTCAGAGCAAAGAAAACTCGCCTCCCCAGCAGCTTGCGAGCGCGCCGCGAGTCCCGAGCGCGATCGGTGGCGCTAACTACTCCTCGCAGCCGGGAAGGCGGCACTGACGTCAAACCTGGGACTGGGACACGAGCCACAGCTGTCATTTAAAGAGATAAGCGCCAGCCGCAGGCTGCCGGGCTTGGACGCTAGGGGGCGGGGCCGGGGACCCAGCCAGTAGGAGATGCTACTTGGCTGCTAGCCTGGAGAAGCGGGCAGGGGACCTCCGAATACGAACTGGAAAAAGGACAGCATCTTTCCTTCATTTCGTTCCCTCCTTCCGTCCGTTCGTGCTTCCCTTCCTCCCTTCTTTTCCTTTTCCTCTCCCTTCCTTCCTTATCTCTCTCGGCCCCATCCGCACAGTAAAACTAGTTTTGTTTTCTTTTACTCTTGTATTAAAGTGGAAAGTGGAATGAGGAGGCGGGTGCGGGGGGAGGGAATGTAAGAAAAATGCAAATCTCCTAATCTGAAATTACTATGTTGCCATTTGAGCAGTGATCGCAAAAAATGACTTAATAGAGGTTTAGTCTCTTACATTAGATTTACCATAGTTTTCGAAATAAAGAGTGAAATACCAGAATGTCTATTACAATCAAATGTTATGATTACATATTTAACTGCATGAGACACATATAGTTGAAGAATTTTTAAAACTAAATTGATTTCAGTTCACGAAACTAATAAAAGGTTTTGTGTAACGTAACTGTTTTCAGTATTCGATTTATAGAAGATGCTTAATAAATGTTAACAGAGGAAAGGACAGAGCCAGAGAGAAACAACTCTATTTGTTCCTAGTTTCCAGTCTTAATGATCCCTTCATTAATTTCCATTTCCTTTTCAACTCCATAGGGGGGAGAGGAGGGCTTATGTTTTATTAGTCTTCTAATACCAAAGATCAGGTCACAAATGAAAATTGTATGAATTTAAACTCACCTTAATTTCCATTTGTATATAGTATAGGTACATTGTACAAAATCAGCATTAATGGTAATAAAAAGTGATGATAGATATGCAAATCTTATGATGTGGCACAATCTAGCATGCTTATCCAACCTGGGAATATCCTTGTGTGTTGAGAAATATAAAAAATCTTTCATTTACAACGTGCAAAAGTGAAAAGAGTATACTGTGACATAAAGTAGTTTCTTTAGACATCATAATATTATAGATGAACTTTATTAACAGTTAAAAATAATACATAGATTTTAATGTTTTTTAAAAAATTCTAAATGCCTACTCTTTGAATTCCTCCTCTTTGACTCCACCAAAAAAAAAAAAAAGAAAAGAAAGTACTTGACTTGGAATAAAGAATTTTATCAATAATACATTATTCTTTGGGGCATTACAAACTACATTTAATTCGTTGGTCCTTTTAAGCCACATCCACAGAAAATGTTACACCAATTTTGAAGTTAGATTACCCCAGGCAGAAAGAGCCTAATGGACCAATGAAAGAGCACAATGTATTTGCCAAAGAACTGAGATTAAAATTGGGTTTGTGATGTGCAACTTCATGCAATCCTCTTATTCAAGCATACTGCCTCCCCGTAAATATCTGAACTTATTGATCAAATTAAGTAGAATTCATTTTATCTTTCTTCATTTAAAACCTAAAATCAAAAAACATTTTTTATTTAAAATGGTAGTTCCTGGAAAAATGAATTAATAGAAGCTTTATAACCTTTATAGATGAATAAATAATAATGCTTCAAACAACTAATGAAGCCCATTTATCATAAGGCAAATGACCCTAATGATAAGGATGGTACAGACTATAGAATTATAATGAAGTGGATTCATAATAAGTATGCATATTTATGTATGAATATGAGGTCTCATATTGTCAGGGTAAAATCCATTTTAATTTTTTTAATTACATAAAACGTGCTTATAAGGTAAAATGGTCTAAAATTTACACTCTAAATAATTCATTGCAGAAATTCTTAATGAATTGCATTGTGTGATATACTGCTTTTTCTTTCTTTTTATTTATTTATTTTTTATTATAGTGACATTGGTTAATGAAATTGATTAAGTTTCAGATGTACAATTTAGCAGTAAGGCATAGAGAGAGAGAGAGAGAGAGAGAGAGAGAGAGAGCGAGAGCGCGCTTGCATTTTGTATTCACCACTCATAGATTTCTTTCTGTCACCACATATTTGACCCCTTTTATCTCATCTACTTCCCCCATCATACCCTACCTACCCTCTGGTAACCAGTAGTTTATTGTCCATATCCATGAGTCTCTATTTGATTTTCCTGTTTATTTGTTGCTTTTGGATTTATATCCCACATATAACTGATACCATGTGATTTTTCTGTCTGGCTTATCTCACTTAGCACGATTATCTCGCGGTCCATCCAAATGGCAGTATTTCATCCCTTCTTATGGCTGAGTAATATTCCATTGTATATATGTGCCACAGCTTCTTTATTCAATCATTTATTGTAGGACACATTGGTTGCTTCCATGTCTTGGCCACCATGAATAATGCTGCTATGAACATTGGTGTGCAAAATTCTTTTTGGATCTAGGTCCTCAATTCTTTGGGATAAATACCCAGTAGAGGGATTGCTGGATCATATGGTAGAACAATTCTTAGTTTTTTGAGGAAACTCCATATTGTTTTCCATAGTGGCTCTACCAATTTGCAATCTCACCAGCAGTGTCTGAGGGTTCATTTTTCTCTGCATACTCTCCTAAATTGTTATTACTTGTCCTGTTGATAATAGCTATTCTAACAGGTGTGAGATGGTATCTCATCGTGGTTTTGATTTCCATTCCCTTAAAAGCTAGAGATGTTGAGCATCTTTTCAAATATTTATTGGCCATTTCTAGGTGCTCCAGGGAGAAGTGTCTGTTCAGGTCCTCTGTCCATTTTTTGATTGGGTCATTTGCTTTTTTGTTGTTATTGAGTCATAAGAGTTCTTTGTATATTTTGGATATTAGGCCCTTATCAGAGGCATTGCTTGCAAATATATTTT